AATCGAAAGTTTAAAAATAAAAAAAAAAATTATTTTAAATTTTCAATGTTGAACATATTTCAAAAGTTGTGTTAAATTAAAAGCTAATTACCATTTTTTTATAAAAATATTATTTTACATTTCTTACAAAAATAGTAAAATATTATTTCTTATAATAATATATTTTTACTAGTTTATTTATTTATTTTTTTAATATATATTTTTTCTAAGATTATCTTAATTTTATAACCATGTCATCAGTTCAGTGAGTTTACATGAGCTAGCATGAATTTTTTTATTTTATTTTTTAATATTATATTATTTCATAATTATTCAAGTTATTTTTGAATTCTTCAAGTTTATCGGGTAATATCAATTATTAAAATAATTATATATCAAATATATTAAAATATATTTATCTATTCTAAATAATTTTTTATCATTAAAATATATTCATACGCGCCCCCCACACACACATATATATTATCAGTTTGGTGGGTTCACATGAGCTAGTATGGATTTTTTTAACTAATTTTTTTATTTTATTTTTTAATATCATATTGTTTCATAATTATTCGAGTTATTTTTGCATTCATCAAGTCAATCGGGTAATATATTTTTTAATATTATATTGTTTCATAATTATTCAAGTTATTTTTGAATTCTTCAAGTTTATCGGGTAATATTAATTATTAAAATAATTATATATCAGATATATTAAAATATATTTATCTATTCTAAATAATTTTTTACCATTAAAATGCATCCACACGTGCCCACACACATATATATATCATCAGTTTGGTGAGTTCACATGAGCTAGTATGGATTTTTTTAATTAATTTTTTATTTTATTTTTTAATATCATATTGTTTCATAATTATTCGAGTTATTTTTGCATTCATCAAGTCAATCGGGTAATATATTTTTTAATATTATATTGTTTCATAATTATTCAAGTTATTTTTGAATTCTTCAAGTTTATCGGGTAATATTAATTATTAAAATAATTATATATCAGATATATTAAAATATATTTATCTATTCTAAATAATTTTTTATCATTAAAATATATTCATACGCGCCCCCCACACACACATATATATTATCAGTTTGGTGGGTTCACATGAGCTAGTATGGATTTTTTTAACTAATTTTTTTATTTTATTTTTTAATATCATATTGTTTCATAATTATTCGAGTTATTTTTGCATTCATCAAGTCAATCGGGTAATATCAATTATTAAAATAATTATATATCAAATATATTCAAATGGATTTTTTTAATTAATTTTTTTATTTTATTTTTTAATATCATATTATTTCATAATTATTCGAGTTATTTTCACATTTATTAAATCAATTAGGTAATAATTTTTTGCTATTAAAAGCGCCCCCCCCCACACACATACTGTTTAAAAAACCATGTTACAAAATTAGTTTTTCTAAATAGCATCTCGAAGATACCCTCAATATAGTCAGTTTTCTCTACAATTAATTTGTTGCCTCCAATTCTCTTTTAACAACCAATCAACTGGTTGATTTAGTAATATTAATTAGTTGACTAATTAATTATTTTTAATAATTTTAAAATTTAATTAATATTATAATTAACAACCATGATATTAATTAAAATTTTATTGTTATTTATAACCATGATATATTTAAATCTAATTATTATAGAGTGTGACAGCTATCTTATTATGTTCAAAAACAATAATATTTAGTAAATGTTGCCCTTCAAAAATATATCAAAGTAAAAATATTATTTTATCAAATTTTTTAATTTACTATGATAACTTTTTTTAAAAAATCTATCTAGAAATCAGCTAAGCTCCTTTATTTATACCATCATGAAACCTAGCTTCACCATTTCAGCAAGTGGTGTTTTGAAATTGTGGTTGGTTTTTTTTTTTAAAGTATATTTTATTTTAAAATATATTAAAATAATATATTTTTATTTTTTAAAATTAATTTTAATATTAGTCTATTAAAATAATCTGAAAATATTAAAAAATTTATTTTAAAAAAGTACTTTTAAATAAAAATCTCACCGTATATAAGCAAAATTCAAATATGAAAAGTACAAATCTTACGATCACTCCCTCGCCCCTTCCACCTCACCCAGTCACGTAGCACCAACTGCAAGTCCCAAATACAAATCCCTCGACCATATATGTAGTCAATTATTGTGAAAGTGGATGGAAAGTGATGGACGTGACTTTCACGTGTGATTGCTTGTATCTTCCCTTTTATGTTTGTAATATATTAGCTTTATTTTCTACTCTTCTCTCTGTTTTTTTTTTTGAAAAAAAATTCCGTGATCGGAACATGAGAATCCCGTTCGAAATTGGATGGATCTTAATTTGATTTCATGATGGATTAAATTGAACTAAACAATGTTTTAAGATTATTGATGTAATATTTTCTTTTTTATCCAGGGATTAATGATGCTTGAACAAATAGTTTGTAAAACTTAACCCCCGTCTAAATATATTATTTATTTCTCAGTTATAGATAATAAAAAAACAGTGCTCGATGTGCGGTAGCTATAAATATTCTTAAATTTATAATCGAGATAAAACACAAACAGCACCGCATCTACAGCAATTGGTCACGCGACATATCTGTCTCAAAGAAGTTTAGTCATACATAGACAACCCCCAGCCACCATTGATTGCATATTCACTGTATCCAGTATTTGGATTTTGAATACCCTGACGTTGGTGTATCCAACCGCGCTGTCCATGTTTTTAATCTGAAATTTTTTCTTATTTGTTTGTTTATGTATTTTAAGATTATTTTTATTTTAAATTTAAATTAATTTTTTATGTTCTTAAATTATTTTGATGTATTGATATCAAAAATATTTTTTTAAAAAAAAATTAATATACTTTTTTAAAAAATACTTCAAAAAATAATCATTTACACTCTCAAACACCACCTTTACCATATGCTCACAAATGTAATGTATAACTTTTCTTCAAAAAATAATCATTTATACTCTCAAACACCACCTTTACCGTATGCTCACAAATGTAATGTATAACTTTTTAGTAGGATAATTATAAAAATACATCATACTTTAGAAATATATAATAATGTTTTTTTCATGATACGGATTTGCAAGGAAAATCATAGGCAATGCCTCGTACACTGGATAAATCCAGTTAAAACTGAACATAATCCAGAGAGATAAATTATTAATCATGGATCGATGTTGGAATCATCATTTTTTTGTTGATATCACAACCTGTACATATGAGCCTCAATGGGTGGTGGAACGTCATTTGAGTCGACGAGGCATGATCCGTCGCTTACCCAAACAGTCTGCCACGTGAGTCGACTTCCCAGCCTTCAAGCCGCCCCTCCTTAAAATGACATAGACACCTCAACATAGCTTCGGAATGTCTCAATAGCCTCAATACCTCTTGCCTTTGAAAGCGACGATGGATGTTCGCCCGTTCAGATTCTAATGGTTCGTCAAGATCTCTGAGGAGGTTGCCGATTCCTTCAACCGATCCAGCTAATTCCGCGCGTCCCATTTCAATTGTGATTTTTACCACCACGTCTGCTCCTATACACACATTTAAGGATCGCATTAGAAGGTGAGTACTGGAACATAAACTTAAAACTATATCCATTACTACTATGGAACACTCAAAATACTACTACTTGTTGCAGCTAACATCACAGTAGTTTTAAAATACTTTTATATTTTTATGAAAAAAATAGATTTTTAGCATTTTATTTTTTAATAAAAAATAATATTAATTAAAAAATCGTTATCTAATATTATAATAATTAAAAATCTTAACTGATCAGTAGAGATTTTATAATATTAGATTAATTATACAAAAAAAAATATTATCACCTTTTAAATATTTCGTCGGAAGCAGATTGCATTATTAGTTTTATCATAAATTGCTAATATTTATGATACAAGATTGGTTACATAAAAAAAAAATATTATCACCTTTTAAATATTTCGTCGGAAGCAGATTGCATTATTAGTTTTATCATAAATTGCTAACATTTTATTAATTTTATGATATGATGGTTTGCATGTAATATTTTAGATTCTGATTCCAGTAAATATTAAATTACAGATATTTCTAATTATATTATTGATAAATATTACATAGTTATGAAAACAAAATAAATTTAAATTAGTATTTTTTTTATTCTTGAATCTAACTTTAGTGAATAAAAAATAAAATAAATTTATTTTTTTACACGTGTATATATTTTTTATTTTTATATAGTTAAATAAAATTTTAAAAAATAAAATTAATATTTTTATTTTTGACTTTGATGTTAATAAATAAACTAATAAAATAAATGTATATATTTTTTATGTGTGTATATATTTTTTATTTTTATTTTTTTTAAATTGAATCTAGCTCAGCTAACAGGAGGGGAGGGCAATAGTGCAAGAGGATGATTATCCTTTGAAAAAAAAAAAACAAAAAACATTGTTTAAAACACAGCCAAGACAAGAAAGAAAGAAGACACCAAATCAACGGAGTAGATATAGACAAGTAATTCTTGATTCAAGAGAAAACAGTCATCATCTTCACGGTTAGGACGCTATAAATGAGCGGTCACATCTCACCCATAGAAGATACCGATATGGATGGTAAAATTAGAAAGATCATTCGAGTCGCTTCGACTTGTTCCATGGTGCTTCCCTGTCTGTGTTCCAAAAATAATTAATGTCATGGGTTAGAAATGAAAATGGCATGCCGTTTGTGACAGACTGGAAAGCCATAACATTGAAGCACAGACATCATGTCACTAGAGAGAGAACGACAACAATAACGACAAAGCTTCGCATAATCCCAAACTAGTTGGGTCCAGCTACAGGAATCTCTTGGCATCATTCCGCAATATCATGCAGGGCAGGCAGCTTGAATCTACTTTACATACAACACAAAGCATGGCAATCACGTTTATCTCGTACCTTCAATTTCCAATCACCGACAACCAGGAACATTAATCCGCTCGATTTGAATCATCACTTCACCTGCTATGCCCTTAAATCTCTCTCATCAGAAACGGAGATTATTAATAGTTATTTAAAATATCATTTGTTTTGTGGACAATCTTATCCCCTCTAACTTAAATGCCATACCTGTTCATGTAACTTCGCAATAAATTATTTCCCGCTCCTTTTCATTATTTAAGACTCTCAATCGTTTTCCCTGTTCTCTTCCAGCTGCATGGATGGGCCCATAAGCCCGCATCAGCATGGCTCATGAAGAAATTTCAAAAAAACAAATAATAATAAAATAATGTACACAAACCCTACTTGTTCCTCCTAAGTGACCCCTCCCTTGGCAATTTCATGTGATACATGCTGTACTATTTTTTATGTATAAAAAAACCATTAATCATGATTTACAACCTACCAAGATTTTGGATTCATGACTTTATATTTTTTTTTTCAAATTCAGGATGTCAAAATTGATAAAATTCACAAGTAGCTTTAATAAAACACATCAAAATAATATTTTTTTATATTTTATATTATCAACATAAACATATCAAAATCAATAAAAAAATTGAATTAGATATTTTTAAAATTAAATATATTAAAAAAATAAAAAATACCACACCGCAAAATACTCAGAGTCTTTACCTAGGAAATCAAGTTGTCAGTAATTGAATACTTTTTCTAGGGTAGAAATCCTTGATTTAAAAAAATTCAAATACCTTGCCATCGGTAATGTAGTGTTGGGGGCTGCATTCTTGTCAGGACAAGCACATTGCAGTGGATTTTTACTTCGACGAAGATCATGTTACTAAGAAAGATTTGCAGGAGCAGTGTATATCTTTTGTAATGGACATGGGACCAATTTCGACCATAAATGAGTGGTTAAAAAAGATGAATTGAACGGTAGAGATGATGTCTAAGAAAAAATGGCGACGTGGAAGATGAATATCCACGTGTTTATGACAGTTCGACATGTGGCATAGTAAAATTTAAAATTTAACACATTAATCAAGCCTTCAGTTAAAACAGACAAGATTCTTTCAAATTTGAATTCAAAACTATTTCAAATTCTATTTTTAAAAAATACCAATAGTTTAACAAATATTATAAATTGAATAAGATAACAATATTTGATGGATTCAAAAATTTTTTTTAATTAAATTGGTTCAAGTATTAGAAGCTCAAGTTAATTACCTAGTATTCTTTTATAAATATTCAATCATCTACAAATATTTATTTATTTATTTGATTAATGTGAAAGTTCAAACTAGTTTGCATGTATCTTAAATAATTTTATAAATTTTAAAATTAATAATCATATAAATTTTTAATAACCATTATATTAGTAACAATATAATTCAAACTTAAAATCACAAGAGAAGCAAACTCTTTAGTTTCAAAACTTTATTATTAGGCTACTTACTAAATAATTGTAAAAAAATATTTATTTTGTTTTGTTTAGGTTCCATTTCTTTGTAATTCAACTCTTTTTTTTCAATAATTTTTTTAATTTAATGTTTTAATTTTTTGGATTCATTACAAATTGATTTCATAGTCTAACAAACATGACAATTAAAGAACATGAATGTCATCATTCCTTAAAATAATAGATACTGTGAAACAACATCAACAGTGGGTATTAAAAAAGCTTGTTCGACTATCACAGAACATATCTAGTCAATTAGGTGGACTGGCTAGCAAAGATACAAGGAAAAATTCAAATATATTAAGAATTCTAATTACGTATTTATTATTAAAAATTGAATAAGATAGCAATATTTTGATGGATTCATTAAACTTTTTTTTATTAAAATAGTTTAGTTCTTATTGGCCGAGATACCTTGAATAAACAAAAAAAACTTTTATTTTATTTTATGTAGATCCAATTACTATGTAATTCAACCTTTTTTCCATTCAATGAAACTTTCCAGCTCCACGCTTTAATTCTCGGGTTTGTTAAATCTTTCCGACAAGAATTAGACTGCGGACATTTCTTAGAACACCATTATCTTTGTATATAGATAATTTTCAGTTACAATGCCCTTAAAAATCTTATTGGATTGAGGAGTGGATTTTATTATTACAAAATCGCCGAACTTTAAAAATAGTAAGCAGAGTAAGAGAATCATCTAGGTATTTAGGCATAAATGCATAATTAAATGATGCATCAAATATAAAAAAGGGGTAGGTGGGGGATACAAACATGCAAGAAAACCACCTAGATAGAAAAATATAGAAAACCTTAAATAATGTAGGTCAATAATTGATCTCATCATTTACTAGTCTAGGTGTATAGTTATCCCACGTCTTTATAAGGATAAGATCCCAAAACATTTTCCCTACGACTGCTATAATTGATTTTGTTATCTCAAAGCTTACATTGTTTATAGTTTGCTTACCTGCGCAACAAAATGACACTCTTTGGTAAGATGGAGGCTGAAGTAGAGATCAAAGTTTCTGCTGAAACATTTCATGATATCTTCAGCTGCAGACCACACCACGTTTCCAATATGAGCCCTGCCAAGATAAAGAATGTTGATCTACATGAAGGAGAATGGGGGAAGACGGGCACTGTAATCTGCTGGAGTTATGTGCATGGTAAGGCTGTGTCGTCATATATATATATATATATATATAGATAGATCATCCCTGACCAAAAAAACATATCAAGGATTGCACTGCTCATGCTTCTTAATCATGTGTGTGTGTGTGTCTTCATGGTTTTCATCTTCTATATACATATATAGAACTACTATCCATAAGTTTACATCATAATTAGCCTACAATTTTGTTTATTTCTTCGTCTGGGGTAAATCCATTGTTGGAGAAATTTCATGACTTTCTGGTTGATGAAATGTTAACCTCGTATACATTTTCAGAAACAAATTATTATAAAGAGTAGCATAACATATCAAGGCAGTGATTCATGACTGACCTGCTCATGCTTCTTAATCATGTTAATCATGTGTGTGTGTGTGTCTTCATGGTTTTCATCTTCTATATACATATATAGAACTACTATCCATAAGTTTACATCATAATTAGCCTACAATTTTGTTTATTTCTTCGTCTGGGGTAAATCCATTGTTGGAGAAATTTCATGACTTTCTGGTTGATGAAATGTTAACCTCGTATACATTTTCAGAAACAAATTATTATAAAGAGTAGCATAACATATCAAGGCAGTGATTCATGACTGACATTTAATTTGACTTTTATGCAAAAAACATTAACAGATGGGGTTGCTAAGACTGCTAAGGAGGTTATTGAAGCTATAGACGATGAGAAGCTGTCAACCACCTACAAAGTGATTGAAGGAGACATCACCACGGAGTACAAGAATTTCATAGTCATCGTTCAAGCTACTCCCAAGGGAGAGGGAAGCTGCTTGGCTCACTGGACTTTTGAATATGAGAAGCTAAATGAGAACGTTCCAGATCCTCAAACGTTGCTTGAGTTTTGCATCCATTGCAGCAAAGACATCGAGGATCATCACCTTACCCAGCTACCAACAGCGCAGGCATGAATGATCGGTTAGTATCACATGCGTGCATGCTGCTGCTGCTGCTGTCTTGAATTTAAAATGACTTCCTGTCATGAATGAATAATAAGAAGCGGTGTGGTGGGGACAGACGCCTGTTCTTCTACATTAATGTATTTTAATTTATCAATAAACTTGTGTACGTGGGGTCTACTGAAACCCTTCCTTGCAGTGTGATATGATGTACATAGGGCTTTCTGTGAAGTTAATGTATGCTTCGATGGGTGATTCAAGATGTTGAAAGTCTCTCCTCCTCCTCCTATCATTTTTCATTCTTTTCAAGATCCTAGCCGGAAAATCAATCATCCAAACGCGCTAGACTCTCCTAAATTAGTATCTCAAGTCACTGGCCAGCACCCTCATGAATTGCGAAATATTTCCAAAACTCTCATCGTGATTCGTAATCAAGATTTTCATTCTTGCGATTTCAACGATTGAAAGGGGAAATCAAATCCACAAGGACAAATCGACTAATTAGCATAAAAAATAGTGAAATAGCATAGCAACAAAAATATATTTTTGAATCTTACGTTTGTTTATGATATTTAATACATATTATTTATTTATATGTATCACACCAGTACCGCAACGATCTTAAAAATTATATTTAAAAAAATATAAATTTTTAATATCTTATTTTTTAATAAAAAAAATAATATTATTTAAAAAATTATCATCTAATATTATAATTACTAGGAGTCTTAATTGATCATTACAGATTTCATGGTATGAAATTAGTTACATAAAAAAAAATATTATCATCCATTGAACATCTTTTCTAAGACGGACTATTTTGCTAACTTTATAATAAATTATTAATATTTTATTAGTTTATACTATAGTGGTTTTTACAGATAATATTCTTGACTTTTAACTACAAATATGTTTAACTACAAATATTTTTAATTTTGTTGTTAAATATTGAAGCTGCTTGGCTCACTGGACTTTTGAATATGAGAAGCTAAATGAGAACGTTCCAGATCCTCAAACGTTGCTTGAGTTTTGCATCCATTGCAGCAAAGACATCGAGGATCATCACCTTACCCAGCTACCAACTGTATGCATCACATAAAATAAATTTAAATCGGTATTTTTTTATTCCCTATTTTGACGTCAATGAATAAATAAATTAAACAAATTTATTTTTTATGCATACACCTTTTTTATACAACTAGATAAAAGTAAAATAAAATAAAATAAAATAAATTTACATTAATATCTTTATTTCTAACTCTGGTGTCAGTGAATAAATCAATAATTTTATTTTATTTTATTTTATTTTTTCATGTATATTTTTTATTTTTATGTAATTAAACAAAATACAATGAAATAAATTTGAATTATTATTTTTATTTCTAACTCTAGCGTCAATAAATAAAAAATAAATTTATATTTATATTTTTTATTTATACATACACAAATTTTTATTTTTTATTATTTTTTAGAACTGGATACAGTCAACCGGCCCGGTCACTGGCCGAAGCCAGTGACCCGGCTGGGCAAAAGCACGCATGCGTGAATTATTAGCGCATGCTGTGCACTGTGCGAAGGTATTTAAATTACCTTCTCACAGTACCAACTTCAATTAAATGATACGAAGTGAAAGAAAATTTACCTGCCATGCTAGAATGCTAGCGCTTTGGGCGAAGATTCGTTGCTGAAAACTGGAAATCTTCCTTCTACCTTTACTCTTCTCTCGTCTTCTGTCTCTGGTGCTAGAGATTGTGAAGGCAATTATCCCCTTCCTGTATATAATCTCTGTCTTTTCTCCTGCTTGCGGCCTGTTTGCGTTTCCAGGTCTCCCTGGTTTCCTCCGTTCCTTCTTGTTCAGTTATTCATCTCTGCTTTTTGTCTTTTCTGTCTGTTTGTTTATTATCCTCTTTTCGTCTAATCCCCCCGGGTTCTGTTTCTCCGTCTCTTCGTCCTGCTTCTTCCGCTCGTCCCCCCTCCTATTTTTGTGTTTTCCTTGTTCTTTCGCTTCTGTTTCTGGAGGCTGGTATTGAAGAAAGATGAAGCTGATGGTGATGTGGGGGTTTGGTTCTCTCTGTATTTTCTTTGTTTTTTATTCTGGATTTCTCAGTCTCCCCCTCTGGTTCTGTTTCTGGTTCCTCGTGAATCGTCCTGTTTTTGTTTTTCTTTTGCTGGTTCTTGGCTCTGCTCCCTCTTTATTTCGTCTTTTTTTCAATTCTGGGTTTTTCCTCTGTTTCTGTTTTCTTTTTTTACCTCCCGTTTGGTCTGTTTTTCTCCTTTTTTATGCTCCTCCTCCGCCCTCCATGGTTGTGTTCTTCTCTGCCTTTATAGGGCCAACCAGCTCGCCCAAAACCAGTCCTGCCTTTGCAGGACTATTATCCCCCCACAAACGGGATTGTGGGCAGAGGACGTGGCCACCATTGGGTCGGCTTTGCTGCCGATTTTCCAGCATCCCTGTTGAATCGGATTGAAGAAGACGCACGACTTTTCCCCAGTAACGGTGCTTTCGGCAGAAATGGAATTTTCACTTTGACCCCTGCTTCTGGAAATATAACAATTGGGTCCTTAATAATTAAAGATTGCTTTTAATTGTGCCCTTGGATAAATGTAAATTGAATCCTCATTTAAATGCTATTTACACAACAATCCTTGGCTTCTGAAATATTCAATTTGGTTCTTGATTATAATTTTACCTTTAATTAGTTTCAAAATTTTTCAATTAAATCCCTGATTTCTTTAATTAATTAAATCAAAATTTAATTAAATCACAAATATATTAATTTTTTAATTATGCTCCTGATTTATTTAATTCAATTTTCAAATTTATTATTTCTTTAACTATTAACTAATTAACTCTTAAATTTAATAATTCCATCCTTAAACTTTAAATTTTATATTGTAAACCTTATTTATTATTTGTTTGAAAATTGGTTTTCGACAACTAGAGAATTAAGAGCACCAAATTAATTATACAAGGCTGCCTCCTCTGGCGAACCAAAGATAGCTATATGCATCGTTATCGCACCCGTAACATGGGCCCACGTGATTTTTTCAATTTCAAAGTACTGTTGCCTGATGGGATCGGTTTAGTTTTGTGATTGGTAACTTTTTCAGTGAAAATTCAATTAAACATTTTCTTTGAATGATGGTTTTACATACTTCAAAAGTTGTGTTAAATTAAAAGCTAATTACCATTTTTTTTTAATATAAAAACATGTGGTTCCATACCATGTATCGATGAGATTATCATATTAATTTTCAAGGGATAACATGACTGCTTTTTAATATTAAAATTAAATAATTCAGGTACTATAATAATAAAAGTAAAAGAAAAAAAAAAGAGAAAAAATCGAGAGAGAAAAAAAACAGCACATTAGTTTATGTTTTTATTTTAATTAATTTATTCATCGCTGAATCGAGTTGAGATTTTGACAGCAACTTTTAGATATGTTACTTTTGATTTTGAACGATTGGAATGAAAAGTGATAGCATAGAAGTTGGTCATTTCAACAGAAAACGAGGCTGTCAGTATTGTAAGTTTTTCTCAAATAATTCTTCTTTAATCTTGCTATAATCCGATAATAAGTTGTTCTTTATGATATATATGTTATATCCCTTAGTTGAATCTGAGGAAGAATAATTGTGAATCAATTATTTGTTAATAGTGGAAGTTTTTAGGTGGATTACGGTCCCGTAGTTTTTCCCGTATCGGGTTTTCCACGTTAAAATTTTGGTGTTGATTTTGTGATTATTTGCATTATATTTTGTGATTATTTGATTCTGTTTTACTGCACAAAGATGAAAAGAATTGAGAATTGTGAATTGTATTTCGTTGAATTAATCTAGGTAAATTAGTGTCTGGTTGTTCCTAGTTTTCCCAACAAAACATCATTTTTACATTTCTTGCAGAAATACTAAAATGAAAAGAATTGAGACTTGTGAATTGTATTTCGTTGAATTAATCTGGGTAAATTAGTATCTGGTTGTTTCCTAGTTTTCCCAACAAAACATTATTTTTACATTTCTTGCAGAAATACTAAAATATTATTTATAGTAATAATATTTTTTCCACTAGTTTTTTTCATTTTATTTTTTAAAATTCTATGTTTTTTTTTAAGATTATCTTAATCTATTATAGGTTTGGCAAACTCAACCAATTTAATTAAGTTTTTTTTAATTAAATTTATTTCATGGATGATAAAAAAAAAAAAAAAACAGTGCTCAATGTATGGATGTTTCTCAGTAATTTTGCGTGGAGGATAGCAGTTTATCTTTTTCATTTTTTTTAATTACATTAATCTTAGTAACAATATCAATAGGATAAACAGAAAAACTCAGTTCGGAAGAAGCTGCCACTAAGTCTCCCTGTACATTATCTAACTATGATCTGTATTAATTGTAAGAAAATGTCATTCTATCTTTGCTTGAACATCTATTATCTTACAAGTCCGTTGCCCTATTAATTAATTAAATATTTTTAAATTTATATTCAAGATAAAACACCAACCACACCGCATTTACAACCATCGGTTTTGAATAAATCCAAGGGCATAGGTCATACGACATGCTTGTCTGAAAAAACATTTACTCATAGATAGACAACCCCCAGGCACCATTGATTGCATATTCACTGTATCCAATATTTGGACTGTGAATACTCTGAAGTAATTTGTTTATTAACACTTTTTTTTATTTGTTTTGTTTATCTTTATTTTTTGTAAAGTTATTATATAAAATTAATAATATTTTATATTTCATCGAGTAATTACAATATTGTACTGTTTTTCTACTATATTAAATGTTAATTTAAAATTTTATATATTTTTATTAACATATATGATTTTTAATTTATTTTATTAATTATATGTAAGTGTTGATTTTTTGACACATACATATATTTTTTACTTAAGTAAAAAATAATTTTAATAATATTTATACATTTATTGTTTTGTATTTAAGAAAAAAATTTCAAATATAACGATACAAGTTGAATAGAAGTTTAATATTATTTTTTATTGGCATAAATAACTTTTAATTTATTTTATTAAATATATGTATAAACTTTTCAATAATTTTAATAATATTTCGTGGTGGATGTTGTGTTTAATGATATCAAATTTCTCTCTTCCCGGCGTTTAATTTCTTCTCCTCGTTTTTTTTTTTTTTTTTTTGTTTCTTCTCTTCTTTTCTTGATCTCCAGATTCTATTCTTTCCTCGTTGTTCTTCCAAACTGTATCGTATCCCATGTGCTGATAGTAAATGGATCCTATTTCTCTCCTCCCTAACTATTTTTTTTTTTAATGAAATCAAATTGAAACTTCGAATAAAACATTTTTTTTTATAAAAATGTATACAAATAGATACATTGAAAGATTAATTAAACTTTAATCTAAATTTTGATTGTTAGTGTGCTGCCAAATTCATGATAAGATATCAATGCAACTGTAGTTTAATTGGGTGTTTGATACTGTAATACAAGTTAATGTTTTAAAAGTTATTTTTTAAAAACATATATTGAAATAATTTTTTATTTTTATTTTTAATATTAATAAATAAAAATTATAAAAATATTTACAACAAAATGCATTTTAAAAATATAACCTGTCAAACAAGCACTAACTAGCACACATTTCAAGGGTTAAATTTTCCTTGTAAGTGTATGCATATATATATATAACAAATTAAAGGTGCGTGAGTGAGTGTGCTGGTTGTGTTATAACTTCGGAGAGAACATGTCCTAGTGCTCATATATAAATAGTTTGTTTATTTTGTGAAAGTGTAATTGTGATTAGTTTTTAAAATATTTTATATTTAAAAATTTATTAAAATAATATTTTTTTTACTTTTAAAAAATTATTTTTGAAATTAATACATTAAAATATTTAAAAACAATATAAAAATGTTAATTTTAAATTTTTTTAAAAATTATTTTAAAATAAAAAACAAACTGGATAAAATAAAATAAAGTAGGGGAGATGATAGAAACTAAAAATATGAAAAGATAAAGGAAGAGAGCTTTTACATGAAGGACAAAATGATGCAGTATTTTTTATTATTATTTCACATTTTATTTTTATCATTTACAGTGAATACTGTTATATTTATACACAGCTTAATAGAACAACACTATAACAAACTATTTTATCCTATACTCTTATAACAGAATGAAAGAAAGAGTACAAAGGATTTATTTTATTGCATTTACAAATCTCACTGCATGGTACTAGTAGAGTGGCAAGCGGCTGGTATATAAATCTTGTTGTAAGTTGTTGCTTGGTGCTGGCTGAATGGCACGCGGCTGGTGTGGTGTCTAATAGGAGAAACTCGTGAGAGACAGAGAGAAACCTGAAATCCATTTGAGGGGAGTGCCGTAGTGCAAGGGATGATTCCCTCTCTAGTTGATTATATCCTTGAGATGCTTTGCATGGGTAATGATGGAATCAACTCTTTCTGGTGGAGTCTTAAGCATGGTGGAAATTTTTGCAAGCCTATTTGCATATTTGCGAGCAGCTTTCCATCATATCCCCTCCACCTCGGGAGAGTTTAGCCCCCCTCTCTTGGTGAAAAAATCGAGTCCATTAAGAGTATGTGGCAAGTGCGATGCTGTCCCCTCCACCTCGGGCGAGGTTTATATGCAAAGTAGTTACCAGCAGTTCAACTTGTTAGCACCAAATCGATCGTGCAGGTGCGTATTATATGCTAATCGCGAAGGCAAACTTGCCATTTCGGATGCATCATTGGCAAATGGAGGCAAGCAGGCAACAATGTACTCGTGAAATGCAATGGTTTTGATGTTGAGGACGAGCTACGGGGACCTAGCTTGTTCCTGTGGCTTTGTTTTGCAATATTGATATCGAGGATGTTGAGGTAGAAGCCATGGATTCCGTGTTCGATTTGATGCTCTTCGTCTGCTTTGAAAGATTTCGAGGGAAGACTGTTGGCCCAAGAAAGCAAGTGGGGAAGAGGAGGAACTACAAGTAAGATTAGCCATGTAAATGATATCGCTGCAATTCAATCAATAACTATCTTGGAAAAAGAAAAATATCTGTATACAAACTTCCAAACATCTCTATAGATTTTTCCATTGTTTCTATTTTTATTTCCATGACAATGCAATTCATATTCCTCCACAAGCAGAACAACGTACTGTGTATTCTTGCATGTTGCTATAGATTGTTTAGCTATAAAAAGCACATGTCGCTATAATAAATATCCAAATAGTATGAATACAGGAAGTTCTAGGAATGGCTATCAATCAAATCTTGAGATGAGTATAATTAATGTAAATACAAACGTACGTCAGAGGAGGAACTTGAGCCAAGAATGGCCATGATCCAAAACAAAAAAAAGGAGCACTATAGGAAGGTTTCGCATGCCTTTGAGCAGCGTCCAGTTGAAAAAAGAACAAAAACAAAAAACTATCAGACATTGAAAATGCGGTCAAAAAGAAAATCAGTAACATGTGCCAAGCATCCCGATTGAAACACAGTATATTCAAATGGATATTTGCAATATCCGGCTGAAGTTATTGCAAGGAATTTGTAACGATAAAGCCAACGGAACAAAATTTCAAATGATTATCAATATTCATTTAAAACGGCCATGTTTTAACAAAATATCCCTAACTGCTATATCTTAACAATTATATTTCAGATAAAATCAGAAAGTAATTCATAAAACAGACTCAATTTTCACATATAACAAATGTCACATCAATTAATTCCTCTTTAGGATCGGTCAAGAGTCTCCTCTGTAAATTAATATTGACCTTTTTAGTTTTTTTTTTAATATTATTTCTATATTGGTCCTTTATTTAGTATCCTCTTATATATATTTTTTTAAAAAAGTATATTTTGTTTTCGCTATATATTTAGTATGTCCTTTCAGATTTATCTTGTTGTACAGTTAAACTTATAGGTTTCCAGCTCCTGTCTTCTTCTTTTTTTTGCTTATCATTTTGTCTTTAGGAAATTAATGTCTATTTTGTCCAAAATATTTTACCTTCCATTATGAAAAGAAAGATTTTACTATCTTTTAAAACTCAATAATAGTAAGGATTTAAGATATTTTTTACTGAAGAATAAGATTATCCTTTCACAAACAAACACATATATAGGACACATTAAAGAGCATACCTTTTTTCGAAAGAAAATCATGACTTTATGTATAACTGTCGATATATAAGATTAGATTTTATATTTCCATATATGATGTGAAAATTGCTGCGTCTAAATAGCGGTTTCTTCCATTTTCTTTCTTTCCTTGAAATTAATCATAAAAGCTTACATCCTGAAACAAGAATTTCAATGCTATGACTGGATGATCAAAACCGCCATTAAATTCTATTAGGTTTAAATTGTTTTTAGATTTTGAACGATGAGCAGTCCAAGGTTACCAATAGTTTCTATCTTATAAATTTCTGCGCGACAAGTTCTTTGCAGAGGAAATGCTAGCTATTATCACCCAAAAAAAACTTATTATCACCCATTTAAATTTTGTTTTGTTAGGCCGTAATTTCAAGTTGAAGATACTTTCATGTTTTTAACTTTAGTTAAATCTTATTATGAGAAAATCAGGTGAATAATTGTTTCACGATAAATGATTTTATATAAGAATTTATTGGTTTTTTATATAATACAATGCAAGCCAAGTTCGAGAATGCCATTATCCCTGGAAAAAAAAATCAAAATGAAAAACATTGTTTAAAACACAACCAAAACAAGAAAGAAAGAAGACACCAAATTAATGGAGTAGATATAGATGAGTAATTCTTGATTCAAGAGAAAACAGTCATCATCTTCACGAAGAGGACGCTATAAATGAGCAGTCGCATCTGATCACCCATAGAGGATACTGGTGTGGATGGTAAAATTAAGAAAATCATTCGATCAGTCGAGTCTCTTCGACCTGTTCCATGGTGCTTCCCTGTCTGTGTTCCAAAAATAATAAATAGCATGGGTTAATTTAGTTAGTTTAAGCATACATGCTTGAGCAGATTATTGAAATTGCTTGTCTATGGTAAGAAAAATGAAAATGGCATGCAGTTGTAAGAGACTAGAAGCCATAACTTTGAAGCACAGATATCATGTCACTAGAGATCACTTGTTGCTTACTACAACAACAATAACAACAAAGCTTTGCATAATCCCAAACTAGTTGGGTCCAGCTACACGAATCTTTTTGCATCATTCCGCAATATCATGCAGGGTCAGGGAGCTTGAAATCTACATTGCATATAACACAACGCATAGCAATCACGTTTATCTCGTACCTCCAATTTCCAATCCCCGACAACCTGGAACATTAATCCACTCGATTTGAATCATCACTTCACCGGACTCTACATTTCTTAATCTGAGTATCATGTCTTGCAGTATTTTGCCGTTATCCCAAACAACGCAGCTCTCGTCAGCAAGGCAGTTGTTCCGGCTTGGCTTAACTCTTGAGACCACACAACCGTTTGGGAGATTTTGCAATCCCATCTTTAGACTCGCGATATATGCTTTGATGTCTATTTCTGCTTCACCCATTTTATCATCCACGGTAAATCTGTCTTTGTCAAAAACAGTCTGCAAAGAAAGCCGAAACAGAAGGAATCAGAATTGACAGTAATAAAATATGGGTGTGTTTAACGAAGTTATTAAAGAAAGGAAAATGGTATCTCCCTGAATTTACCATCAACTGTTTGTATGCGCAATACAGCACAGAAATATTTCAATTGCTGAGGGATTTCATCATAATCATACTACATATTGTGGGCTAATACTTACTAAATTGATTGGAACATTGAGATCTGTGATTGAAAGAGTAATCTCCTCGTTCCACTCCGGATTACAGTTTTTTTTCACAACTCGAGTCTTCAATTTCTGCACCAAAGTTGAGGTGATTTTAACGCTGAGAGAACACACCGAAAAGAACAAAAAGGACATGATATAGAAAACTTGCGTATAGTTGAACTTTCTATTATATGTGCAGTGACCATATGCAGATTTAACTTATATTGATGAATTATAACATACTTATTCATGCTTTCTAGTTCTAGATCACCTTAATATATTGAAGCAAAGCTTCATATCAAGATAAGCAAATACAAGGAACCCTAAAGCAATTCTCTCAGAAAATGATGATGAGAACACATTTGCAGTCCATCATTAACCATAAAGTTTCAAGCAAAATTAATCAAGAACCAAGCTATTGAACAATCCTACAAAAAACCACACCCCGTCCTCCGTATTTGTGGTTATGAAAAGGGAACCGGAAGTAAGAAGGCTATGTCCTCCCCCTCATTGGCATTCATGATAGTTCAAGAAGCATTCTTGAACTCCAAGCCCATCGATATTAACAACGGCTTCAATTAGGTGAACAAATTTCACCCTCTTCTTGTTTATTTCTCATTTCTATAGCAAAAATATATTTCCTTGAACAAAATACAATTGTGAAAATCCTTTGGTTTCCTGTCTTTAATTTCTTTCGGTAGAAAATTTCGTGCCTGCTTCCCTGTTTCATTTCTATAGAGGTCTCAGACAGCCAAGTGAAAAGGATTGACAACCATTTTGTGTACTGAAATTTCAACAAGGAAAAAAATTAAGGGAAAATGAAAGAAACTGGGGGATAATAGCAAATCATATAACCAAGTTTGAGGAGATCAAAAGAAGAGTAACAAGCCTGTTTTCCCATGGTGATGACAACATAAGGATCACTGGTACCAAGATCGCGAACGGCAAGATTGTTGCCTCGTTTCACCCGGATTCTGAGAAGGCCAAGAAGGTTGTCCATGTCTGAAAAGCTCCTGCCTATTGTTCAGGTCAAACAGATACAGGATACTGGATTTTCTGGCCCAGAACAAGAATATATAAATGTCGCTTGAAAAATCCAAGCAACATGTAGCTTGATCGGTGGGTCAACTGCCAGGGAATCTATAAACAATCTTCCAAAATCCAAGTAGCTTGATCCGTTGCAACGTGTCTTTTACGCGCTTTAAAATATATGTTGGCCAAGAAAAACTATAAATAGTAAAAGCCTCGTATTAGACAATCCTTTGTGGTCCGCCGCTATGCACGCCCTTCCCGTTGGTGGTTAAGACGTGTGCTTTTAGAGCAATAGAGGGAGAATAGATATATGGAAACTTGCTCAATGTCCACCTAAAATCTGACAAGGCATTATCATTTTACTTTCTCTGCATGGAAATAACAATATTAAGTCAGATTGCAAAATGGAGGGCCGGTATATCCAACCCCATTTATATGAGATATTGTCTTCTAATCTATGTATGATTGGTAGGTCAATGTATCAACGTGAGATCCCGATACTTAGCATTACTATTTTCTTTAGAGAGATATTGGATCAAATTTCTCTCATACTTCTTTTTCTTCATTTGGGTAACAAAATATTTAAATCAGCTCTTTTGAACTCTGCCTTCTGAAACCCTGGATTTTAGAAGCCTATGTTTCATCAGCAATATTCAGCACTCTATCAGTGAGTACAATTTAGCGTATATAGCACAGCAAGAACAGAGAAGGAAAGATTTAGGAGCATGGTTTTTTTAAGGTTTACAGCATAGTTGTCGTAACTGGCTCGAAACTTAACCCCGATCAAGATCGAAAATCATTGCGATTTGTTAATTAGCTCATTCGGCTAAGAACAGGTTGATCCAGTTAGTTAATTATGACAATAATAATATTAAAAAAGTTCATGTAATATAAAAAACTAAATTGTATGGCATATAGATTTTGGTGAGGTGGTTAAAAAAAATAATTAATAAAGAAGATCAAGGTGTTTTTTTCTTGTTTGCTTTTAAGTCAATCTTTCATTCAGTTATGTCTTCGTCGGGTCAAGTAGGTTAATTGAATTTTGACTTGATTAATTTTTAATTAGTCTAAACTTACCTCAATATAATCTCAATATAATCTTAAATGATTGGGTTTTAGGTCAATGCATTATTGTGAAACTCGTAAAATAGTTTAAACTTGAAAATTTTTTATTTAACTATTTATTTAATTTAAATTTTAAATTAAATTATATAAAAAAAATTTGAGATAACTTTATTCACTAGACGGATTTAAAAAAATCAATTTAATATTAAATAATAAATTAAATAAAAATATTATATTAAATAAAAAATAAAAATAAAAAGTCTTTAGGAACCCAAAAGAATTAAAAACCAATGAAATTAAAAAAATGAGTCAATTTTTTATTACATTCTAGAAAATACAAAAACTGATTTATATAATTAAAAAAATAACATATTAAATTATAAAATTCAAACAAAAGAAAAGAAAAATAAAAAAAGGAGGTAAAAATCCCAAAGAAAATAAACGAAATCCTTAAAAATATTAACGAGCAACCCATTCGATCACGCGGGAGACCTGCAGATGAGGCTTCTGATCCATCAGTTCATCACTCGGGGGGGCATCCTCCTTTGTGAAAAGCTAAAGGACCACCACACTGACTCGAATATTATCTCAGCGTTTCCCCATCCATCGATTCGTCATTTATGCCAGGTGGGTGATCTGGTACCCTCATGAAATCATCAGATAATTAAATTAACAATCCCACGGAGAACTATCCGCCACCCATGTGGTCGGAGGCTATAGGCCCAGACAGAGATTCTTCAGCACGCTTTTGGGTTTTGTAAGCTACTCATATGTCAGTACTGGCGCGATCACGCGTATCTTTTATGCGGGCTTACCGGGTAAGTTCAAATTATATTGGTAAATGGGGATACGGTGAGATGAGATAGTATTTTAAAGTAATTTTTATTTTAAAATATATTAAAAAATAAAAATTTATTTTTAATACTAATATGTTAAAATAATTTAAAAATAAAAAAAAACTATAATACTAATATGTTAAAATAATTTAAAAAAAAAAACTATTTTTTTTTTCAAAAAAACTATTTGTAAATATAAAATATATACAAATTATTATTTTTTATATCATAGTTTTAGTAACTTGATAAATAATAAGTAATTCTAGGACCAATCCAGCCAACGTGTTTTGTATGGCATTGGGAAGAGATGAAGATGGTTATTTATAATATTTCAAGATAGTTAGAGTTATTTGTACTGTAAAAATATTTTTGTATGTATATTTTATGGACACAAAATAATATATATTATCTATTAATATATGTTTTATATATTTATATTTAATGATTTAGAATGATATAAATTTATTTTAAAAAAAAATTATTTATATATTTTTGTCTACAATATCTCTCATACCAAATATATTTATATTCTAATTATATTTTTTTCCTCTGAATATTGCCAAAACAATACCTAAAAAATGGATCAAGTAGGATAAAACTAAGGGAAGATACCGAGATGCATCTAATAAAAATCGGAGGGGGAAACAAAGAAGCCAAATAGTCAGTTTTTCTTTCAATTAAAATATATAAACTTTAATTTTAATTTACTACACTCAATACTCATCCTGTGCAACAGTGATTGTATTTATTTTAGGATTCAAGTCTCAGATGAGCTAGCTAATGACCCCTACATTGTTACGGTTATTTTATATATTTTTGTTAATATTGTTTTGAACAAATTAGAGAGGGAAATTGTGTTAATAATTACATGAAAAGTTTTGTTTAAGAATAATAATTAAAATAATACTTATAGGATTAGTGATAACTTGTATGTAAAGGATATTTAGATTTTGTTAATTAAATAAGTTTAAAGTATTATGTTTAAAAAATGGACATTCATTAGACATATTCTTCGATGACCAATTTGTATAGGAAAGGAATTTTTTTAACCTTTGTTTAAGAATAATACATGGGTAACTATATTGATTTTTAATCAATTACTAATACTATTCTTTATATATAGTAAAAAATATAACAAAATAACTAAGCAAAACATCGAAACAATTTATACCGACTTATTTTTTATATTTCCATCTTCTAAACTTTTTTTTTTTTTAGTTGTAGTTTTATATACCTAATTAGATGATAAATTTATCATATTTTATTAAGGATATATAAAACCAATAACAAATGATCACATTATGAAATACGTATAAATTTAAGGGAACAATTTCTTTTAACCCTTCTACTCTTTTTTCTACCTTTAATGTTCCCACACTTTTTTAAATTTCAATCCTCAAGTTCATTTTTTTATGATATTTAAGTGATCAAGTTGGAAAAACGAGAAAGGTTTTTTATGATATTTAAGTGATCAAGTTGGGAAAACGAGAAAGGAAGTAATGTAAAAATGACGAGATAAAAGAATACCATCGATTTAGTTGTTTTTGATCAGCAACAAAACTTGTCATTTTCTATGTCAGCGAATCTATACAACAAAAAGAGTTTGATCTTTATGGGTTTTTCTAAAAGTATTATTGAAAAAGCGAATGTTGAATAAGGAGAGTTTGATCTTTATGGGTTTTTCTAAAAGTATTATTGAAAAAGCGAATCTATACAACAAGGAGAGTTTGATCTTTATGGGTTTTTCTAAAAGTATTATTGAAAAAATAAGACTAAGTTCATTTTGATTTTTATTTTTCAATTGATTTTAATTTTCAAATGTGTTGAGATTACTACATTGTTTATAAAAGTTTCTAAAATGGTCTAAAAATGTTTTTAGATTAAAACTGCTTGAAATTTTTTATTTAATAAACCCATTTATGATTTTCTAATGATTGGTGGTGGTTAAATTTTGGATTTCATTCAATTTAGTTTTAAAACCTACATGACATGAATGAACAACAAGTCATCGAGGTGGTTGAGCGGGTAAGGAGACATATTTAGCTAATCTTGAACTCAGGTTCAATTTTTATTGTCGATACTTTTCTAATTTTTAATGGCGAACTCATTTATTTTTTTCACTATTAGTTTAAAAGTTTAAAAAGTTACATGTAATACCCAGAAGCTCTAGAAAAAAAAAATATGTGCTTAAGATCTTATATTTATATAATCAAAGGCATGATTTTGAATCTTTTAAACCATTTAATAATAAAAAGTGGCTTGATATAAGTGTCTAAAACTTGATCAACACAAATGATACATAATTGGACCTTCGAAAAGTGATAGAGTCGAGGGTCATTCAAAGACACATTAAAGCTATAATAGAAAATAACAATCATTATACTATAATTAAACATAATCTTAAAAGATCCAATACATGCTTTTTAACACTCTAGATATCTGATATCCAGAGTAGCTAATTTTAATGTAATATATAAACTTTTATGGTCATAACAAGAAAAGATTAATCTAACAGTATCAAAATAAATATGTGTATATCCTTAACAAATTCATTGACCTGAAAATTCATATGAAATTTTAAAAATAATAACTTGTTTATACAAAAGTAGCAAAAAATTTATGTTGGTAAATAGAAAGAGCTTGAATATATTTTTTTATTAAACAAAAAGGTTATTTGATAAGAGTTTTAATATTACAAATAATAAAAAATGATTTTTTTACAAAAACATTATAAGAATTTACCATAAAAATACCTGTTTTGGAGATTTTTTATGTATCTAAAATGTTAATTTTATAAAAATAGTTAAATTTAGTAGATGTAGATTTCCGAATGAAAAGGAAATGGTGAAGATGAAAGAAGGAAGAAAAAATCAAAAAAAGAAAAAAAAAGAAAGAAGTGAAGATAAAGAAAATGATGTCACGACCACACACAAACCAGGAAAGTTTACGATCACAATTTCTTAAATGAGTTTTTGTAGCTTTTGAAACTAGCGAGACCATCAAACTTTTTTATACTATAACCGAATTTAAATTTAAAATCTCAAGAATAAATTTGCATGCATGGCACGTGGTCAAATAAACTAAAAGCAACAAACCAGTCGTCTATTCCAAGAAGTCCGCATAATTTTATAAATAAATAAAAAGTTTGAATTATTTTTTTTGGTTACAAATAGCAATTAATTAAGCTAAAAATTCTTGCAAGTTGTAGGACTTTCGAGAATGGAGGCAAATCAGCAACCAACACCATAAAAAGAAAACGTGTTTTACAGTTACAAGTTTCGACGCCAAAAATGACAGTTTTACAGCAAGAAATAAGAAAAAACAAGATTTTGAATAAAATATAAACCACGTCTTTC